AGGACGTTACGGTACAGGGCCATACAGGGATGCAGATGACTGGACCACGATGCATACGACTTGTTGGCCCTGACTCAGTGTACATCATCGATCACCGACAACAGTGTGATCCTAAGGCCTCCGTTGGTCATCAGTCTCTCAAACTCTCTGGTACAACATAAGGTTTTCTGGCATCATCTGGCAGAAAATGAAGTTCTATCGAAGAGGACAGAGGTTTAAGATCGGGTCTTTTGCGAATCGGGGACGACATTAAAAAAAAAAAGACTTTTCCGGAGCTTCCCACCGGGCGCCATCGATCTACACCAGGCGGCCGACAGACCATGGTCCTGTGCCTTCGGCCCGGCAGCTTGTTTCCGACAAACGCATTATGTTTGATGTTCAAGACGCTCCTCTCTCTGCTGAAAAACGATGATATCACAGTATCAGACTGATATATACACTGGTGGCATGGTTTGAGTCGTCTATGGTCATGGAGTATTTGAACGAGATGAAAGAAAATCATTGTTAAATCCCCATCATGGCACATCCGGCGTTGCCTTGATGATTATCAACCACATCAATCTGTCCTCGCCTTAAAGTTTCGCGCTTCGAGAAAAAAGAACCTTCTACGTTAGCGAAGTGAATCCTCAAGCTCTGTCCCGAAATGGAACCGTCGGCCAATCCTCCAGGAACTCCACCGAGCCTTTTGAATAGTGCACATGTCGTTCAATGGGTTTGAGTACCCGGCTACTTATATCAATACAGAACAGGTCTATGGTACATATGCGATCGGAGAGGAGTTCCGAAACCTGAACGACGACTCTGCGGACAGTGCCTAAGCAGCATTTTGAACGCGGAAGGGCAATGTCCACTTGAAAGGGATAGTTGCAAACTGGAACTGGCAGGAGGGATCACAGAATTGGTGAATCCGATTCTAATTTGAGCATCAGACATGCCACAGCGCTGATTGTCCCTATTCCGACGACATGATTCAAAAAGGGATTATCCTGCTTCTTCTAGAGTCGCTTACACTATGCAACACTTCCCAGGAGCGGCTCCATCTGACGTGCTCTCTCCTATATTACCATTACTTATAACGGTGACGCAGTACTCGACTGAACAATCCAACACTGCCGGGCGACAACATGGAAGTGCTGGTTCAAGAGGCCGAGGCAGGAGCCTGCTACCTAGGCTGGTATCGAAGAAAAGCTTCCGATCTGACCTCGAATTGACGGACTTGAGAATATCGAAATCTACGGATTGCCACTACAGCGCATACCAATGAAAGACAGTGGTTTTCCATCATTCGAGGGCAGCTTGCTCACCTTTCCATCCACACAGATAACTTCTCTACAGCGACGAGAAGACCGCAAATACTGTCCTGTCGAGGAGACCGTGTCATTTGCCAAAATCATGCACTCTCTGGCCATCGATGATCCGTCATCCTATGACTCGTACTGGCTTTGTTGTACAGGACTTACGAAAGTAGCTTGGCAAACATCACAAAGGTTGTGCCATCTATGCTCAACCCAGGAATAACCTTACGATATGAACAGCCAAGAATGTTGGCACCGAAGAATGGCGTGCTTACTTCACGTCCCCGATCGTAAGTGGGCACGCGACCCTGCTGGGCGCTTTCGCATCAAAAGCGAGGTCCGTCTATTTGCAGTCGTGCCGGACGGAGGGAAGATTTGCCTGACAGTTTATTCATCTTGCTTCGACAGACAAAACGTGATCTGAAATGTCTTCCTGCAGTTGAGGTCAGCAAACCCTCCCGGTCGAATATTACGCTATAGGAAACTAGGATGGTGTTTCTAGCCGCGTGGACGAGAATCAATTCCAGATGTTCGCATGATTGCTTATATTACACGGGAACATTGGAAGTTGCCAGCCAGAAGGATGAAATTTGCAAGGGAGAACAATATAAAGCTAACGAGCGAAGGATCCTCATGGCCCCAGAAACATGGACGAGATCTGCCTCACATTCGCCTCATACGATCAAAATTATTTTTGATTACCTTAGCAATGGACCGACAACGGGACTGTCATTTCGCATGAAACAGTACGGCCCTCGGATAATCAGCAAACATGGTACATGGAGCAGCTAGCACAGATCGTTGCTACGTTTGGCAATTGTGATTGGGGCAAACAATAATGTTTCCCTTATTCAGAATCCATTTCCTGCATCTACGACCATAACGCCCCTGAGATAGCAGCTGTGAAGAAAATGCGCGCGCAGGAGAACTAATCACCAACCTGCCTCCGACGATGGACTTCCTACGGATACCCAAAAGCGCCCGCCAAATCACGTCCTGGGCTTCTTCATCTTTCTTTGCATCCTGGATCATCTCCGAAAAATTAGGCCTGCTTGGTGCCCAGGCTGCAATGTATCTCGTGTTTATCAGATACCCCTTGATCGCTCTTTCTTGCCTGAATGCTTGTCTATATCATCCTCCTCATCCAGATGAAAGAAAGAAAGAAAGAATATTGACGATACGGTGGCAGGAAAATATTGGCTACCACTACAAACATCGACTGTCGATTACTTCTCGTTTTAACACACAAGACAACGGACGTTCATGTTGCAAAAAAAGAAAAGAATACCGTGACGGACTTTTCTTAGCGAATCTGCCACATGCGTTCTACAACACCACATCGACTCCGGATCTTGCACAACGAGAACAACGCTAATGGATCTGATCACAATGATGGTCTGCTTCCTACACTCTCCGCCCTCTCCTCTTTGTTGTCAAGTCTCCTCAGGGGCCAACAGCATTGTGCCTTCTATTATTTATAGGTACGATAGCATTTGCCTGACGTCGACACTACTTCTACTGGATTTCAATACCGTTGAGAGAACTGACGGTGACGGAGACAGCGATGTCCTCCGAACTTGACAATCCCTCAACTGCATATATCAAGACTGGGCCAGCGACGGCCAATCTGAGGCACCTCTGATCTTGAAACCCTCAAGATCGAGCTCTAGAAAGGGGATGCACCCTAATCTGACGAACATGGACTTCTGAAACTTGTTGCCCATTTTTCAAAAGGCGTATCATCGATATCAGAGACATATCGAGTGTCAAGCCAAGGCTGTATGCGGAGAAGACCACATTTACCCTGACGGATCGTTCCTCTTGGAATAGGTTTTGTCGTCGCAGTCACGTTCTTGTCAATCTTATACCTCATCACGAAGACTTTCCCTGTGCACATTCGAGGCAAACGTTGGCCAGCCGATTTCGCACAGAAAGGTTACATGCGACGGAATTAGCATCTGATCACCTATTGCGCCGTAACATCTTTACATATCTGCGTGACCCATCAGATCCTTCCTCACTGTCTACCAGTGGGCAAGGACTTCTTCGCATGGAGGATGACAGACCACAGCAAACCCCTAAAGAGCCCCTTGATAAGGGCCGATGGCAGACTAAAAACAGTGGAGACGAAGACTATGTCCACGCAGCACTGACGATGTTGAAAACTCTGTCATTTCATCATGCCGACCAGAGACATGGCGATTGCCGACCACAATCAATGCCGAATCCAACCTCTCAGCTTAAAACCTCCACAGAGACAGCAGTCTTCAATTGCGGTATCATTGCATTGGTAGCATTAACACTCAAAGTTGCGGGCTTCGGAAAGCAGAATTCAACTGGTTCCATCCCTATTGACCCAGACCTGTCTGCAATGCCGGCATCTGATCACATTCCGTTTCTCAGCAGCCTGAAATGGAATGGATATCTGCTTGCGAGCCATCAACTTCAGCGGTGATGAATTAGACACGAAAATTCATGCGAGGATCCAAGATGCTCGACCAGGTCAAGCATCCAGTCGCCTCTCGCTTTTCCTCGCACCTTGCGCTTCGTTGAATATGCGCATTTCAAGAAAACTAGACCTGAAAATCGTTACAGTATTACATCCCCTCCCAGGCTTTTAGAATACGCCGCATCTCGATTACATGCCCAGAGAAATACTCAGCAAGACATAGTTATCAAAAAGACGGCGTGAAAGATTTCGAAAAGCGAGAGCATTACAGATCGTGAATACCCATGAATACCTCATCAAGAACATACTAATTTCCGCCTCTCGCTCATTGTTGTCTGTGACACAATTACCTATCCTCCCGACTTCAGACGGAGAAACAACATATCGGCGACCAGCTACGTGCTTCCCTTCTTCATGGACCTTGAACGTGAGGCGATAAGATAGCGCCACATCTATCCAATCTCAGTCAACAGTTAGAAGCGCCGAGGAACGATATGGGGCTTCAACCTGAGTGGAGCAATCATTGAACGCACGGAGCAAGCGCGTCAAGTATCTTCACCAGGTAGTTTGTTCTTGGTCACCGTGACGGACAAATTACAACCAACTTTCGAGAGTGGAATTTGGTACGCTACTGCGTACAGATACGCGACAAGAACGATGACGAGGTGGTGGCTCGCGTTATGCGAATAGCGTCTGCTCCGAGCTGGCTATGCCGAAGAATCATAATGAAGACAAGGAGTCGTGGGACGATTACCTCACAGACGCAACGATGGTTTAAACAGCAGTCAAATGTGGTACATTTCCCGCGTTGAATATCGATGGCTTATGGAAGATCCAGATTCTCCTTTTCCATTCAATTGCCACCCTTGACTCCTGTGTACGATACGACTTTCCTCAGCCGATTCCTCAAGACACGCGCTTGAATCGTGATGGACAGACTCGAATCTAAATACCCAAAACAACTCATCGAGCCGATCATCCGCAGCCTCTGAATGCGGATGTGTGTCGATGGTTCCCTCCACAAGAGAGGCAAGAAACGGCAACCGCATTGACAATCATTGTTCCCTGCATGAACATTTTACCACGACGAGACAAGCGACTTATTGATTCTATGAACGGGGTCTCTTGAGCCGAATCGCCTGCTGTGTATCAACGCATCCATACGCTCAAGGGCACCCGCTCATCCCTGAACAAGCAATAATTAGCAGTTGTTCATGGCCATCTTAGCAGCATATCGTTCTTGGTCACTTCCGATTTCAGAAGGGAAGAGAGTCCTGAAGATACAGAGTATGGACCAACTTATCACAGAAGAAATACCATTATCTTCGAGTTATCCGGACGTGAAGAAAGAAGCAATCACTCCAGTCCGGTCTCGAGGGCAAGGTCTACAAAACAAGAAGCCCCTCTACAACCATTCCCTCCGTCAGCGGCATATACAAGAGGCGATTTATGGTACAAACAGAACTTACAGATGTCTCCAGCACAGACATGTCTTCGTTTTTACGGATCACCTTCAAAGCGAGTAAGGGGCACACCATGGTTGCCTTTGACTTTGCACCGGCTCGTCCCATCTCGACCGCAAAGGCGAATGTCCGTCCATACCAACCGATCGAGAATATCTTCCACGCTTGCGGAGATAATTTCTCTTCACGACTGTAAAGAATGATACAGCAGATGCAACAGGAGACTTGGGTGCAGAGTGACACATAGAGGACAAAAATGTCGGAATACATGTTGGCGAAACTCACGAGAGAAAAAAAGAGGTAATTTACACCGGATTTCACATGGAACGCAGAAGTTGATATCTAGGAGTACATACATTTCCATGCTTACTGCACTGCGGTCTACAACTCAATACCACGCCAAATGTCCTTCAGCCCAACTGGAGTACAACTATATGGGTTCGTTGTCTTCCAGAGAGCAAGGCAAGACAAATTAGCTTGCATCTACTTGCGACATTGATTGCAACTCGTGTCGGCAGTCTTCTCTTCGCATGGGGAACGGATCAAGTTCAGCTCCTCAAGATCTTTAGTGAAATCCACCATTAACCAACTTCCCTCCTACGTGCTCTCTGGGAGGACCATTAATTATGCCGATAGGAGGGATGGCGAGAGGAAGTGTCATGCGTCCGTCGTCATTGCTACTCTAGCAAGACGTATGCCATAATCAAGGCACCTAATGTTACTTCAAGCCACCTCAGAGCCTTTCCTCCATGACTCTTCGGATCGGCGAACATCTCTTCGCAAGTCAACTGATTGCGGTGCGCAATGAATGCTGTCAGCACTCTCAGGAAGGTCACAGAAAGGATACATGCTCGGTTTCATGCCAAGGGTGGAGTATGGAGTTAGATCTCATCGACAAAGAAGTCACCATTTTCTCAAATACTGTTCCAAGTCCAAGCAAAACCAGCACTAGGAGTTACCAGACGCTCAGACTGGAGCAACACGATTCCATACCGACTACACGGACCACACCGATGGTGCTATACTTCATCGGTGACTATCGATGAAAATATATTCAATTCTCTCGTCATCTCCTGAAGGAAGAAGGTACCATCCAACAACAAGAGTTAGGACAGCATGAGGCTGGACAGTACGATGTCCCGTCCTAATACATTGCTCCGGGCATCATCAATTGACTGATTGCGCCCGATCATCAGATTCTCCTTCGGCAAAAGGGAGGAGGGAGCAACTCTGCGAGGTCGCCGTAGTTGCAGGCGCCGATTAACCAATACTCTCTCTGAGAAGACGTTGTCAGCTGCTTGCCCGTTACTGTAAGGACATGCCACGGTCTTGGTATTCGAATCCGCAACAACCAAACATACCAGGACTTGGCCACAGCTCTCCTCTCTACTTTTGGCAGGTTGTTGCTTCCAATGCATTGAAAGGCTGATCTTCATCCTCTACTTAGTGGATGCCTCAATGCGATCATAGTTGTGGTGGATTCAGGAGCCAAAGAACGCTCAGACAGGAACTGCCTCCGCATGTTGAAGAAAACCCGAGGAATCACAGTGAGGGCAAGGATGATGTTGTGAAGCATCATTCTTCAGGATTTCCATTTATTTCGGCAACCCCCAGGAAAAGAAGGCCAAGTGGTGAACAAACAGACTTTAACGGCATGGAATTGCATCACTTATATTTCACATCGGGAGTTGTGCACTACATATCCGGACAGCTGGAAGCACACGGAGGCGATACAAGAATATCCAACTTCACGAACCGAATGCGCGGAAGACCTCGGATGCATCGGAGTGGCTACCCTAATATGAAGTTCGAGATGTCGCAATCTGATCCCATTGGGTCTTCGCCTAATAAGCCGATTGACCGTAAGTATCACCCTTTATTCTCATGGTCTTACCTAATTTCATGAACATTGTGCTAATCAATATGAATGTTAATATGATAGTTACGACTCCGCCGCCAGCCCCCCCTGCCCCTGCTGCCCTTGCCAAAGTTAACGCATTATTGAAAAAAGTGAACAAGGCGATGAAAGTCCTCGATTCTGTGTGTGATAAGTTGGAGGACATGAAGGCTAATTTTGAGGATGGCACGTGGGTGGAGGTTCCTCCGGAAGAGGAGGAGGAGTGAGAGGCATATAGGGTGCGCCCTTCTGGGCCCCTTCGCCTGCTACGTCTATGTCCTGTCGATACGGATACGGCTCTTGATATACGATGGCTAGGGAATGTCTAGCTAAGGTGCGATTTCTGGTCGATAAGAAGGAAAACAGGATGGGAGGAAGAGAAAGGCAAAAACAAAAAGAGGGAAAGAGAAACAAAAAAAATCAGAAAAAAAAAGGGAAACGAAAACATAAAAGCGAAAAAAGAAGGAAACCAAAAGAGAAAAGGAAAACTGGAGCAGAGAGTGGAACAAAAGTACTACAAAAATAAAAAAAGACGGACAAGGAAAGAAAAGCATAATACTTATGCTAAAAAAGGGGAATGATTGGAATTGACACACATCCTTGAAGCTGATTTATTGGGCCTCTGAATGAAGACAACACCGAACTGAGGCTGGCCTGCGCCTAGAGAGCTATTAACACTAACGACAAAAAAGAAAAAAGACAAGTTTCAAACCTGGATCGACCACTCGCTTTCTACCGGCGACATGTGCAATTCGTCTCCAACCCCCAAAATGGGACTTCCAAGGTCCTACACCAGAGGAACCACCGCAATGGACGAACATTCTCGGCCCCCAAACCAGTGTTGGCGTCTCTATTGATCGAGCAGTCGGAAGATCAGTCGTTACTATCCAAGGTCGAGAGTTGATTCACATCACAAACGAGCCAGTTTTCATGCGCCCAACAACGAAGAAGCCCTATTACGATTTCGTCGATTCAGCCGGCCACATCATCAACAAAATCGATATTGGGTGGGATCCCCCGTTTTGAAGACGAGCTAATATCGCGTGTCAAGGGGGCATTGGAGTTAATCCAACCACGACGAAGCCTGTATGACTCTCAGTGATGTGGACTGGCAGTCAGGACCAAGCAATGGAGAACGACACCCAAGATTATGGGAACTCCAGTTAGTTCAGAACGAGCTCGATCGCGGAAATCTTGCAATCTTTCCACCGGGATTCTCGCAAAGCAATATCGATCATGCGCAAAAAAAAACTAGAGAGGAAAAAAGAAGAAAGGAAGAAGCAAAAAGGATTAGTGACAAAAAATCAAAAGAATGGTTTCAAAAGCAGCTTGATTTCGATCATATAGCAGAGGATTTAGCGAGAGGGATTGCCGTTCACCATCGCCGCCGGTTTCCTCGGACGAGCAGCACCAAAACTTCTGGAGTGGTCTTGTACGCTTCAAAGTCGTCGATGTTGTTCGCTATAGTAACCAGTCGTTCGTAAAGGCTACCCTTCTTGACAATCTTAAGACCAATCGCGGCAGCAACAAGTCGCAGATGACCGCTGGAACGTGTGTGCGCCGCTCCTCTCTCATATCTCGGATTCTTCGAGCTGAGGTCGATAGCAAGGAAGCTTGAGCCAACAAATAGTTCTTGGGGAGTTATTAAACCGAAAAAAAAAACGGAATACCGACCCAAAATCGACAGAGTGTTGGAAGCTACCTCGAGGCTCTGGAAACGCCAGCCTGGATCGAAGATCCCACTCTTATGTGGGGGACGTCTAGCAATTTCAAGGAGATCGCAATGTTGCACAATAGATCAGTCAAGGGCCAGCTAAATTCCGACGATAAGATGGCTCTGATTCAACGTACTCGAAAACTGTTTCCTGCCATTTCACAAACAGCTTGACGTGAAGGAAAGCAAGGACAAGCAAGAACTCAACGCTACCCACCTGTAGTGTCTTCGATATGATACCGATACCAAGAAAGGCTCTGGCAGAGCCAACCAGCTCGCAGCTGGCCAGGCGACTAAGGATTCAACGCCATGGACTACGTGGAGGCTTTTGCTGCCATGAAAATTGAAGAGATTATCCTATCATCAAGTTTCGAATTACAAAACCGTGAAGATGATTACGAAAAGCATTAGAAAACAGATCGATCCTGGCTGGGGTTGCATCAGTGCCCGCAATTCAGCATCATGTCCCTGACCGGTATGCAACTTTCGAACGATGACTCGATTACGGAATGAGTGGGCGATTTCTAATCGTTCATCTGGCTGCTTCGACTTTGTTGCAAATACTATCTCCATAAGACACGCAGACATACATGTTCTTATGAGGACCAGCTTACCTCCTCAGTGGTTTCAGTGACGTTTCTTCCGGGGTCAGATTAGAGACTGTGTTAGGAACGTCCGGTCGCATGACCCTGGTAAATCTGAGGGAAGTTTGCGAATTCTTGACGCCTATCTCCGTGATACAAGAAACAATATCACCCCAGTCAAATCGCGGTGGATCCAAATAATCCAGTGCATCTCATGAACGTCATTCGCATGTTGACAGAACCAAATCAACTGATGGCAGAGTGACGAGCCAAGCATCGACCAGCGTCTAGTCAGCATGATGAGAACAAAATTATCGACAAGCAGGTCCGTCAGTGGACTGAAAACTCAACAATGGAGCTATCTGATAAGTACCGTATAACCTTTAACGGATCCAACTACGAGAGCTAGAAAACGGCGATGGAATCAGACGCTGATCTCATCGGAGCAATGCATATTATCTTCAGCAAGGAGACTGAACCGCCTATGGATTCGACCGCTTTCGTGAATCGTGCAAAAAAAAAATCTTCATTACAACTATGTCAAGCCGGTCTCTGTCAAGATATCCTCTCTCCATATCGATCGCTTGAATTATACCAACTCGCAAACAAATTCGCCAGCTTTCTGGACCAGATTTACGTGTGGCTTCAGCAAAGCATTTCCCCCGAAATGTTGGGTATGAATACGGAGCATGCTGCGGATGAATACGCAAAGCTCATGCTCTTGACGACGAGCTTCCCTCCCACAGATGAAGCATTGGGGCAGAGAACAACAGGCCTATGAATTGGCGAGGAGTCGGAGGCATCCCAGCACTTCGATGAAGTCCCTTAGTTAACCGGCATGACGAAGGGCATGGTGGACAAACCTGCAAATTCTACGTGATCTCTAGTACAATTATCCACCGCTACACCGATGGGTACGGCATGTGCACAACGGCAAAGGTATCCGGGACAGCCACTACTACGCCTTGGATAGTGACACGGCGAAGAAAAGAGAATTCCCTGACCATATCGCGGCTAGTTCCTCAGCCAGATCTCACAACCGGAACAACTACACGAGATCTACCTACTTCGGCCT